TCTTTAAGATCAGCACCTGACTGCCGGCAGGATCTACATGGCAGCACGAATATACATGTAAATCCATATCATTTGCGCCTTTAAACACATAAAACATCGAGATGTTACTTGTGAAGTATCCCCGACGATAGGTTGTGTGCCGGAAGTCGAAACGTCCGTTTAATGGGAGAATTTTATGCCACATCTAAGGCCATTGTCTTGCAAGGGTGGGGACTTTAATAGGCCAAATGTTTTATGTTCCAACGTTTTCGAATCATAAGTTAAGTTCCCTTATAATATTGTTAACTAGCAACATAAAGGAGGCTAACGCTGGGAGGGTAAAGATTCCTCATTCCTGCAGATGAATTAATTTTGATCCAATAAACAGTGATTACTTATCCCGATCAACACTTGTTGATTAGACGATTATTTTCATTGTTGATATGATACATCGGAAAAGTGATGCTGGAAAATGATAGAGCAAAAGATGCAAGCAATCAATGCAGTGACCAGGATGTTGCTTTGGAGCTTGCGACGTTCCCTTTCTTCAAAGATGTCAGTGTACCTTGCGTTACGTATGGCCGTGAATGCTAAACATTGACATAAACAGTTTGACCTCACACACAAGTGGAATAACTTAACTTTCTTCGAATGATTTCTGGTGGGACGAGGCGAGTCAAATTTCATAACATGGCAATCCAAAGTACCCTCAGTTGTGAGGCGCTAATTATTGCGATTTAGAGGTTTGACCGCATTGCACAGGCGAGGCTTTTCAAGTATCTTTTTGTGGCAAGGCAGAAAAGCTTCTCGGGGAAGAACATGTACTTTTATGCTCAGTGATGTCCTACTTGAATGAATGATTGATTAAGTGAAGGAATGAAAGAACAGACGAATGAGCTGATGAATAATCATTCCTGATACATCGCCTTAACACCCAATTCCTTAGTGGCTGACTCGCGATGTACAAGGAGTTCAAAACAGTGGGTGGAAGCCAATAAAAGCCCTGAAAGCACACCGTACATGTGACCGAGCGTCAGGTCGAAGGAGAGGCAACGATTATCCTCAGAATACATCAAACGACTACAATAACCGACAGACATAAACAAGGCAAGATGCGATTAATGCTGCAAATCCGATATCGCAGTTATCTTCGGTTTTGATGAGGTGCCGTTTTTGACTGCAACTCATCGACCCTCACAATGCAAAAAAACATGGAGCTGACAGGGCTATCACGTGCGTGCAATCGAATTCGTTACCATCTGATTACAGATACAACTGCCTGATCCATGATAAGATTATTACAAACGTTGGACTTTGTTTTATGGCAAGATTTACATGAGGGCTAAACTTATGGAACACATTCGATAGCTCTACAATCGCGCAACGATCATTTCAAAACGCTTTATTGAATAAAATTATGTCTAGATGGCCGCTAGGTAGGGAATAGCCAGTGACGAACGTAGAAATGAATATAATATGTCGTTCTCACCACCACCAATTTAGCAAACTGTCCAAATGATAAGGATGGAACAGTCGGCCCTCGAAATTCCTCTTGACTCTGAATACTGTTACGAATATATGCGTGATTATGTTACAAAATTCAAAAAATGATTATTCTTCAGTAGATTGCACATCATGTCGAATTTTTGATAACTTATATTATTTATCACATATCTTATATACACATTTACATACATTATTCCATACATATTGTCAAATGTTTTAGATCATGATCTATCCGTCCTCATAGTGAGACAATATAACGCAGATAACGTCAGAGTACCAGATAGTTGCTTTAGTACGACGTAATTATGGAACCAGCTTCATAGCGATATGACAGAGAAACGAACAAATTTTGGCAATGCTTCTATACAGTTTTGACCATCGAACTGGTGCGATTGATGTTATTTACCTTTCATTTGCTTATGACAACAACCTTGTCACAGCACTATATGTAGGTCTGTTTATCCGACGTACCACCATTAGTCTTCTGCGCAAGGGTTATCGATAGGTGTTCATATTTAAGAAAAATGCATATCAAACAATCTGTCTATATCTTCCAGCCAAGCGATGTCTCTGCTTTGGTCTACGTCACTCTCGGGAACGGAAAATCGAGGTCGGCTTTGTGATAACAATCGAAATGTTGACAAGAATTATCCTGACGATCAATCTGGCATGTGCCATGCGCTACACGTGTCATCGTAGGTACACTCTAACATGACATGCTGAGGCTTGTGACTTACGACATCAGGCGCGCTGTTCGTTTCGTTACGCATAAAAACCAGCGTTATGAGTATTGATCAATTCTAAGGCCGGACTTAGGCCTGTCAGCAAACAGCTTATGCTTGACAAAGACGGGCAATTTTCCAAACGAACGATCGGCACTGTGAGACGATGACTGCCGACCAGATTTCAGCAGCTTTATTCCACCAATCATTTCCGTTACCAAATTAGTCGCACTTCCTGAATGAAGGGGACACCGGAAATTCGCATCGCATTATGACTGCATTTCTAGTCTGATTCCAACAAAGAAACTACCGTCGAAGTGGTCAGCATGAGGCAAGCACTGACGCATTTAATCAGTTAATAAACAACAATCAATTGTTGTTTGTTGTTCAGAGGCTAGACGGTCCAGGCCATTGCTCCATGCTGCCAGCCAGTTCCGGTACGATCTTAATAGCGTGAATGACACGTACAAATGTCCAGTCAACTGACCAGCATTGTTCTGGTCTTTTTATTGGCATGCATTCTGAGTTAGGTTTTGCACCATTTTTGCCTCTCAACATTTGGCATTGTTTAATATTCTCAAGACTCAAAGAAGATGCCCCGTTTTTATTGCGAGTGCAAAAGTTGAGTGTCAATTTATTTTTCAACAGCGTTCGTTGATTCTTAGGTCTTCAAGGAGTTTCGCAACAGTCGTCTGAAGTGTCATATATAAACACTTCAGTGAACCGACCTTCCATTACGTTTGTGGCCCCCTGTCACATCTACAGCGTGCAACCGTGGCTAACAGTTATTCCATTTGCGAACGAAAAGCATAATAGCAAGCTCTGTTATGCATGCTACAACAGGTCCCTTCTTCAAGACTCATGACACTCTTTGCGGCAACCGTGGCAGCTCACGAACTTCGCTCCGCCATATTTCTCCCTCACTGATAATCTTTGGCCTCCCTTGAAAATAAGCTGAACGTTACATCTATGAAAATCATTGGGAGGTGGCTTTGAAATGGTACACTTCTATTTCGAAATATATTAGATATTGAATTCGAGCTTGATAAACAACATTTTATTGAAGTTGGCCAGTGAAGCCTGTTTAAAGACACTTATCAAACCCGCGCAATAAAAACGGCAAGATGCCTGTCGTTCTTTTCAAGGAAAGTCGTTGAATTAAGCCATTAAAATAACTTATAAATTTTGCAGGCACGCGAACGTTCAAAATTTTCGTTCGCTTTCTTATTATTCATTTCTCAGCTTGAAAGATATTTAGGCAGATGAGTTAAGATCACATGAATATCACCCCAGCATCATAGCCATAGGGACAAATAAATAATTATACAGCAGCACTACGGGAAATGTTAAAATTTTCTTCAATAACTAAACTAATGTTACAGTACTGCCTGTAACTAACAACTGCATTGAAAATGAGTACATCTGCAGTCAGACAGCTCCTCAACCAGCCAAAACATGAGTAGCAGGTCGATGACGTGTGAATAATGGGAAACGTGAAGCATGGTTCTCGGTTCCGTCATGCCTAGCGCGCGAAACTTGTGGCAGTGCTGTCTGAGCAGTGTGCTTTTCGGTTTTAATTCATAGCTTGCAAAATATCAGCACAAGATTTAAACGTAAACATTTTTAATCGAAATATGACATTAAAGGACATCGGCTCAGACATAAATGGAATATGTGAAGTTTATCAACATATGGAATGGAGCAACACAGAAGATTGCAATGAAAAGTTGCACATGAAAGACTAAGGTGAACATTGAAGTCAGACTGATACAATCCTTATTACCAATAGCACAGATCGATCAGGAATCAACATGGCATTGTCTTGTCGAGCGACGGTAGCGAAGAACTTTGTTCGGAGACAGAAGCAGTGTACACATCAGCTGCAATGAGTACCTTCAGCTGAATTTTTCTTGCTGCTGTTGGTCATTTTCTTCTAGGTGCAGTAATAGGCAGCTTTGTTTGTCATAATATAATGACGTGGAATGCATGAGGTGTCTCATTGAAACACTTAAACAATTTTTCTTGGACAAGGTACTATTACATAGTCTGTAACTAATCGAGTTCTAGTAGATTTGCTTATATTTTAACTGGACTTCTACGTCCTTAACAGGACCCATCCCTAGTCAGGCATGCCTTTAAGACATAAGGAGCCCTATCAACCAGGATACGACTGCCTCGCGAGCCCACAGACACGACTGTTGGCCGCTCGCCGCGGTGAGGTCGTCGACTCTGAGACTCTGAGTTACAGACTGGGCAGAATTTGGCTGCTTGAAATAAAAGTCCGAAGCACTGTTTCACTGATGTCATAATTGATGATGGATCCAGCCTAGCCGTTCGATTCCTGATTTGAACAGTTGCTGCTTTAGACACTCCCGTGCTGTCGTTTTTTTGCCGGTCAAATGAACACACGCAGATGGAGATATGCACTTCTTCGACGTGCGTCAAAGCAGGTAACAGTCGGTGAACTAGGCGATTAAGAAAAGCTGACGTAAATCGGTTGTGCCGTTTTAGCTGCGAATCTGATGCTTACGATCGACAGCACGAAAGACCCGTGTTCGAATTTCTACGAATATGCGTGCGGAGGTTGGAATCAGCATTTCACCATACCCGATGACATGTCTCGGTATGGCACATTCGCCGATGTACGGGTGAAGGTACGACGGCAAATGAAGGGTGAGTGCTTTTCATCGACTCGACGCAACATGCGTTATGAGCTTTACAACTGACCACGTGTGCGATTCTAGTGCTGCTTGAACAGCCACGCAACGACACGCAGTCGAAAGCAATTCTCATGGCCTACGAGGCCTACAGAAAGTGTCTGGACACCGGTAAGCGATTGCGATTAATAATTCTTTTAATATTTCGCGTCTGTCGTAATTAATTTGAATGCTGTAACACTACCACTGCGCAAAAGCTCATTCATCCATCCATCATCAGTGGCCGTTCTTCAAGGAAAGAGGGACTTTACGACGGCCCAGATCCATCAGATCCAGGGCCTGACTTTGCCGGTTCGGTCTGACTTGCAGCTGTCCTTTGTGACCTCCTTCTGGCATGTACAAGACTTCAAGATATTCCTGTCTTGTCATCGTCATCTAAAGCTAACAGAGCTTAAACGGATGATTGACCCAAATTTATGAAACGTAATAGAAGTATCACGCCAGATTGGTATTAGACTATGTCTACTGAGATACGCAATGGCCACTGCTTCGAAAACGTGACCTCTTATCTGAAAAACTGGTGACTCACAATGGCCATACCGCAGAATATCGTATTCCGAGCTTAATCGAACTTCATACTTCATTACATAAGCAATCCTTTTGATGAGCTTCATTTTATTCGCTTGTACAAATCATGCCCCTCCTTTGCCTGTCAGCATCCAGCCTTCCTGGTCATAGATCACTTGTGTAGGCGGACTTAAAGGGGAAAGCTTCATTACTGTTTGACTCAGTCTCAATCACCGTCCACCGGTTACCCCATCACTAGAACAGGCGAACATAATTTGATCGTTCACGAACTTCAAAGTGGTGCAGTCCAACATCGCCACATTCTATGCCCCCTGTTCCGCGGCTGCCTCTGCTAACTCCCTGCAGACAAATTATTATCAGGAGAGGAAAAGACACAGAGCCTTATCAGAGAGAAACGCGCGCCGAGAAAGGCGTCGATTTCCTGCCATTATTGGGGCAGAAACTTTTTCTGAATGATTATACGGACTGAATGATTCTCAGTAGCTGATCATCCACCAAGTATTTCAGCAGTAATTTATACACCTTTACCGCAGATACTCTGTCATAAACTTTTATAAGGTCTATGAGGCTAAAATAAACATTATTTATATATTCTTACTTTCCTTGCAGAGGCTGCTGTGAGGAAATTTCTTGTCCAGTGTACAATTACCTGGACCGAATCTGTGTGTCTAATCTTAATTCTTCTGTTATACTATGTCTTTTCAAGACACTTTGCTTGGATTCCACCGGGTAGGTTGAACGGAAAGATGCCTTGTCGGTTGATCTCTCTATGGATATGACAATATCCACCGCCGTAACGTTTTTCCAAAACTTCTTGCAACCTAGTGTTCTTCATACAACTTGAGTTAACCACATCAGTTCAAGATTTTAAAACCTCAGGTCTGGTTTCGTTTTTCCCAGGAGTTTTGCCACTTTTCATCGATTTTATATAGCTGTCACTTCAGCAACTATGAGACTGCTTAAACAAAGTGTAACTCCGACGTTCTGGTGCAGCTGCCACGAGCGGCAGCTGTCCGATTCCTCAAACAAATATTATCTTTTAACTGCTGATGCTTTATTCACATGGCGAAAACTATAAAGTTACTTTACAAAGGTACTGCGTTGGTGTAGAATGGATGATGGTCATTACACCGGGTTGTAACAGTACCACAGCACTGCACAGCCCCCTTGCTTCTGGATGCCTAAGAAATCATTTAAGAGGAGCATGGCTACACGGTATTTAAGTACCTGGATGAATTGGATACTGCATACATTGGATGCACGACCGCTTACTCGGTTGGGTCAAGCAAGAACATGTTCAAGCACAAACAACAGACTATTTTTCATTCTGAAGAAAATGTGGCACTCGCCATGGTCCCTGGAAGCTGAATTGAGGAAATTGTGAAATCGTTCCCTCCATGTCTGAAGAACGTTTTCCCTACG